TTAGCAAAATGAAAATGATAAATACTTATATACGCTGTGTAACTGCGTGTACCGCGAACACATCAACAAATCCTGCCTAGGAACCGTTGTCACACAAGGCCTGGTTGCTAACAGGAAGTTGGTCATCTGAAGAGATTTCTTGTTTTTTTAAAATAAAAGTCTCCATAAAAAAATGTAAAAAAAGTTTAGTACTCGATTGAAAGAAAATATCATAAATTAAAATGTAAATAATATATAAGCAAAACAATTATTGGAAAAATTATTTTAAACACTTCAAAGGTGATATATAATATAATATGCATTTTATTTAGGGTGCTATTTTATTAAGTTGCCAAATAGACACTGATTACTAAATAAACTTGGTTTACAAAAACATAACTTATAACTAAGTACCTGCAATGAAGTGCTAGGCAGTATTTAAAATATTTCCTTTAGAGCCAGGGTTTACAGCTAGGGGTCGAATACTTCAGGTGGCCCGTGGAGAAGATATCTAAAACCTTTTTTTAATTTAATTTTCATGGCATTTCTAAATTCAAATGGGCACTACATAATGACCTGATAAGCTTAATATGATGTTAAAATGTTAGTGTTTTTAATAATAAGGCGGGCCTATTATATCACAGAGGAAAGTTGCACTTTGTCCCAATTTTTTAAATCATCATCATCATTATTAATATAATTATATAATAATAATAATTGTATAGCTGTTGTTATTATTATTATTATCATCATTTACCTGGTGTAAGGTACACATTATTATAAAACTACGTTATAAAACGATTATTATTTACTTGTTATAGGTTACACATTACTATAAAACTGTTATGAAGCTATTTTTAATCTGGAACCTAAGTAGGCTACTGTTTAAAATCTTTTCTTTAATCTTTGTCCACTTGACTGTTTTTCTTTAGTTTACAAGAGCAAATGTGTACACTTTAACCTCCTGAGACCTAGCTATGGAGAGGAGAGCAGGGAGAGCAGCGATAACCCCCCAGGGTAAACAGAACAGAACTAACATAAATGTATTGCAGATATTGTTCAAGTTCAATCATTTTATGTACACGTTTTACAATTAGTCTGATTCAAGGAGAATCAGAAGGCTGAATCCCGACTGACAGAGGAGGAGCTGGGGATGGAGGAGGGTAATTAGCTATTGAGCAATGCGAAAACTGCTGATAATACTGAGGGACCTTATATATGAATGCTTAGATAGGTGTCGTATTCCCATAGGTAGATGGGGATCAGCTGAAGGTCAGCTGATGCAAGCTTGACTAACGTGACCTGCCAGAACTAACCCTACGCTTGATTTATAGGACTAAACCCAAGTTTATAGTTTGATTTGTGGTCATGCTATGGATGTTAATTGACAGAACTCATACAATCTGAATCAGCAAGTTTTAATTTTAAGTTTTTGCCTCTGTAGTGGACACTGTATTTTAGTGATTTCTCCGAGACCTCACATGTCACCGTTGTAAGTTTGGATGTCCTGTACAGAGCACATTCAGGGCTTTCCAGAGATACCAAATGTTTGGATGTTTCACCGCTCCCTCTCCTTGGTTTTTAAAAATGGCTGACATTAATTTAGTGATAAAATTGTACATCCTTATGGAAATATGATAATATTTTGTCATTATAATTTAAATCGGATTCATTTTCAAATTGTTTGTCATAAATCAACATCTCAGGAAAATGTTATGGGGTTTCAAATCAAAATATGACTTAATAAACATAATTTCATACATGTCCACTGTAGAGGACACCAGGACTAAAAGCATGTTTATTATACATTTTGGGAGACAAAAGAATTGAATAGGATTCAATATTCTTATGAAATATTAGATATTATTATGAAAATCTGGCCAATCACTACTCCCATTATTACACTTATTTTTTCAACATGCTGTCCCAACAGCACTTTAATATGCAAATTAGATACAGTGTATAGATAACATTGTGCTTAATGGGAAAACCAGTTTATGGAATTTTTACACACATATTGCATAAAGCAAAATTGTATATCAAATCATTGTGTTATATATTTTATAACATAGTTGAGAACCATCCTTAAACAAAGTTAGTTAAAAAAAAATCCTGAAACCTAAAAATTGATTGGTGATTTAAAAAAAAATCCCATTGTTTTTGCCTTTTCATGTCTACTCTTGTCATTTTATTTTTTAGAAAAACGTTTTAGAGTCCTGGTGTCCTCTACAGAGGACATATCATAACTTATTAATAAAATATAATTTTCCAAAAATTATATTGTATTATGTTTTTATTATTATATATAATATTATGTTATTTTACCATTTTTTTCTTATGCTCTAAACAATGTAACGACATGAAAAAATACTAAATTCACAAAGCTTTTTATTTCTGGTTCTCAGGATAACTAATAAATAACTTAATAACTTAAGTATTTTTCACAGCTGGAATGGGACAAAAGAAGAAAGAAATAAAAAAAAAAAGAAAACATTTCAAAAATGTTCCTTTGTGTCCGTATCTGTCGCCTGATTCCACGAACACACATTTAGCAGCAGTTGTGTTGTTGCGAGCTGGATTTGGCGCTGCGTGCTGCTCTGCGCGTGGCAGTCTACGTTAGTTCTTCTGTCTGAGACGCGTGAATGAATGCACGAGTACGTTGGCATTATCTTCATTTCCAATTTCATCGGCAATTTACAGAATGCGGAGGTGAAAACGGCCGGACTCGCCGATCGAGGTACAAATCCTTGACGGTATACGCTGGTATTACACCAGCTAGTATTATTTGTATTGTCTGGAAGCTGTTCCTGGGCGAGAATCACGCATGCATTCAAACAGAGGATTATCGCGGAGGAACTGCCTCGACACCATGAGCTGCAGTTGGGGGACGGAGCTGTGGGTGAGTACAGCCGCGAGACACTTGAGGCGAATGCATCTGCAAGCTATTAAGCAATTTAATGCACAAAATATTTAGGATCTCAATTAGTAACATGCATTTGCCCATTAGTGACAGATAAATAGCCCACCCCACCGCCCATTTTGAGTGTTGCAGACCGCAAATTCCAGCTAACTGTTACAGGAATCTTTCATTTCAGGATTTTAGCACTGGATCTCATGCATGCACGTCCAGATTTTTTAATGCAAGCCAATGCATGCTCACTAAAGCTCGTTTAATGCAGTTATTAGCCATCAGCATTGACTAAATGCCCTGGATGGCAATAATCCTGGGCTAATGCTGTCCCTAACCACATGCAAGTGAATGAGGCTGGAGCAGGTGCACAGGTTATTCCCCATGCATGTCCTTTTCAGCTTTGATGTTGCAATGTGTATGTAATAAAGTAGCAGTGTTATATTGTTGCACCACACGTTACAGCATCTATTATGATCTTAAATACTTAATATTTTCAAGACTGTCCCTTTTTGGCTGTAACATCACGCAACCTTAACCTAGTAGTAATAACACCATAATGTAGGATCAATTATGCAAGGTTGTGTAGCCTGTAGTTAAACATCCGGGCTGGTAACCAAAAAGTTTAGACCTTGCAAGGTTCCACTTAATCTCAATTTGTTGTTATAAGTGTAGAAGAAACAAGGGAATGTGGAAACATGGGGTAGGCTAAGTTGTAACATCATCAGTTTAACCAATTAGAAATTAGTTATGTGGGTGAGATCATCTTACATGGCCACCACCCTCTTCTGGTGACAGTAGAAGCTGTAAGCCTTAAAAGGATTTCTGTCAGGACCACTATCATCAAAAGATGATTGACAATTAGCATACAGTTTGGATTGGCGGTATGGTTCTGTTCTGGGCAAGAACTCCCTGCGCCTCCATGCAGCCTAGCATGGATGAGAGCAGGGAGAGCAGCGATAACCCCCCAGGGTAAACAGAACAGAACTAACATAAATGTATTGCAGATATTGTTCAAGTTCAATCATTTTATGTACACGTTTTAGAATTAGTCTGATTCAAGGAGAATCAGAAGGCTGAATCCCGACTGACAGAGGAGGAGCTGGGGATGGAGGAGGGTAATTAGCTATTGAGCAATGCGAAAACTGCTGATAATACTGAGGGACCTTATTAAAATAAATAATCAAATTTTGTAGGGGTGTAACCACAGCAACTGTATATATTATAATATCATTATTCTTGGTGAAAATTCAATTAAAAAATAATTAATCAACAATGTGGGGGGGAACTGCTATTTTTGTACACTGCAGTCAAAATGTATGTGATGTATATATTTTCTCAGACATTCAGAATAGATTTTTTTAAGTCTGAATATACCAAATACCTGCATAACTTATGATTCACAGTAAATGACAATTGTAGCATACAAATGTTCATAAAGATGGTGTTTTGTATTATGTCAGTGGGAACAAACATAAAACAGGTCACTGACCTGACCCACATTTTATTATCTACCACTGATTCTGTAATATTTCTTGCTGGCTGCAATTTTGGAAGTTTATTGAGCAGCAGTTTCCACTGGAGATGTTGACCCCGAGGACACCGGCTGACGTACCAGCATCATCTGCGCTCCCGCTCAAAGACATATGCAGAGAAACCTCAGCGTTTATAATAAACCCCACAGCGGCGACACTCGCTAAATTTGACCAGACGTGCAACAAACAGGCCCTTTCTGTTTGTATTTTCTGATCACATAAGAGAAAATCCTCTTTTTGTAGCCGTTCGTTCAATCCGTGCATTGTTGTTATTTTTAAGAACTGTGTCAGACTGTATTTTGCGCTCAAGAAAGTCTTTAATTCACAACATCTCTCAGAGGCAGCCATGGGTGAAAGATTTATAAAGCGCTAAGCACATGTTAGCAGATAAACGGCATCGACATGGATCTGTCTGGCTGAAGAATAATAGTCCTATAAAAACCGATGGGTTGGGTTATTCTAATGAGGATTTATTTATGGCGTATTGACGCATAGGGCGGCCCATTTAGGCCGATCGCAGGGAAACTAGCAGACAATAAAGCAACTGCATCGGTGTGGTCTTGTCAAGAAACTGCAAGATGGTGATCTGCCTAGCAACACGTCAGACTCCTGGGAGGTACCGTTGGATGTGTGCGGAGAGAGGGAGAGATGGAGTGAAGGAAAGCTGCAGGAAAAAGCATCGAGGGGGCGGCACCATCAGCATGCGCTCTCACCATCGTAATTGATTTGAAGCCATTTATAGGCCCTCTTGAAATTGATCACATAATATTCATGTATAAAGCAGTGATTTTCTCATTTTCACTATGTCATTTGTCGTCTTCCTGTGCTGAGTTTTCCACTCTGAATGACAAAGGTCTGCCTCATGAATCGGACGCCTCGTTCAGTGGGATGATACAATTATTCTGATGGTGACAATATTAGCTTTTGTTTGCGCCGCAGCCTCGCGTTGCACCACAAGCACCATTAGATCTTATTTGTCACTGACGTGCACAATTTCACTCATTCAAATTACTGGGAGACAAAGACACCTTTGAAATCAGTGAAATGTCTTGGTTTGCCATGCTTGCTGCAAAACAAGAAGAAATGTTGCTAAATTGCTGTTTTTTATGTTAGGGTAACTGAAAGGATGTAAGATAAGATACTAATTATTTTTCTAAATTACTATTTAAAATGTGCAATTTATGCATCACTAGCTTCACTAAACTTGATTGCAGGCTGGTTCAAACAGGCATCATTTACAAATTACTTGTTTATAGTTGCTTTATAGACTAAAGAGTCTTATCTGTCTTATTATAGGAATCTGTCCAAGAAGTATCAGCTCAAGAAGAATTCCAAAGAGGAGGAAGAATTCAAGTGAGTGAGAACAGTTTGGCATGCATAAATCATACACATTCATCGAAATACTAATGTAGCTATTTACTAAAACAGTTTATGTCTTACTACTGTTCAAAAGTTTGGGGTAAGATTCCAGTGTTTTTAAAAGAAGGCTCTTATGCTCCCCAAGGCTGCATTTATTTGATCAAAAATACATAAAAATTGTGAAATATTATTAAAATTTAAAATAACAGTTTTCTATGTTCATATATTTTCAAATGTAATTTATTCTTGTGTTGGCAAAACTGAATGTTCAGTCATTACATCAGTGTCGCATGATCCTTCAGAAATCATTCTAATATGCTGATGGAGTGATCCATGTTGATAATACTTCATAAAATATTCATTTCTGTCAAAAAAGAAAAATCTAACCCAAACTTTTGACTGGTAGTGTATATACACAAATTAGATTTTGTTTAGATATAATCAAAGTTGTAAAGTATCTATTGTGTGAAGAGTGTTCATTTGAGCAATTTTGTGCATGTCTCATTTGCTGTTATTAAATTGCATTATTCATTTGCCCCAAAACTATTTGGACAGACAGACTTGCTTGAATACAAAATATCAACCTTTTAAAAATATTATTTAAAAGAAAAATAACACACTTTTAAAGATAAATCTTTCACAAAAAGAAATCTACTATGTTATGAGTTGACACCAATTGGGTAAAAGTGACATTTAGACATTTTTAATGTGACTTGAGGTAGAGACCTGCGCGGGATGGATTTTTCAGTCCCGCTCCCGCAAGATTCTGTCCCGCGCTCAACCGCTCCCGCAGAGTGTCGCATGATCCTTCAGAAATCATTCTAATATGCTGATGGAGTGATCCATGTTGATAATACTTCATAAAATATTCATTTCTGTCAAAAAAGAAAAATCTAACCCAAACTTTTGACTGGTAGTGTATATACACAAATTTGATTTTGTTTAGATATAATCAAAGTTGTAAAGTATCTTTTGTGTGAAGAGTGTTCATTTGAGCAATTTTGTGCATGTCTCATTTGCTGTTATTAAATTGCATTATTCATTTGCCCCAAAACTATTTGGACAGACAGACTTGCTTGAATACAAAATATCAACCTTTTAAAAATATTATTTAAAAGAAAAATAACACACTTTTAAAGATAAATCTTTCACAAAAAGAAATCTATTATGTTATGAGTTGACACCAATTGGGTAAAAGTGACATTTAGACATTTTTAATGTGACTTGAGGTAGAGACCTGCGCGGGACGGATTTTTCAGTCCCGCTCCCGCAAGATTCTGTCCCGCGCTCAACCGCTCCCGCAGAAAAATATCTTATCTGGGCCCGCTCCCACCCGCGACATTCATCTATGTTATGAGTTGACACCAATTGGGTAAAAGTGACATTTAGACATTTTTAATGTGACTTGAGGTAGAGACCTGCGCGGGATGGATTTTTCAGTCCCGCTCCCGCAAGATTCTGTCCCGCGCTCAACCGCTCCCGCAGAAAAATATCTTATCTGGGCCCGCTCCCACCCGCGACTTTCATGTTTTGTCCCACTCCCGCCCGCAAAAGCCCGCATAAAAATAATCTATATAGATTTTTTCAGCACATCAAAGAAATTTGCATTAAATGGTTCTGTAACATCTCCTAAGATCCACAACATCCCAACATAAATGTTCCAGATAAAATATTTGTTATTTAGGCTAAGCATCAGCATTCACAAACCACTGTTATTTTTAACAGAAAAGCAAGCATGGGCTGCTGCGTACATGGTTTGGCATGGCAGAATGCGAGCAGCTTCATTTATTATCACTAAAAACTGACATCTCAGTTCATTGTGATCTCATAAAGCTGTTATAACACAACAAACATATGCACAATGAATCTTTCACAATGTGAGCACGCAATTTCAGCACTGCGGTGAGTGGATTCTAACTTAATCACCTCTGATTGGCCATTGCGTTCCAGAAATCAACAGCTGAGTCTGTGATTAGCTACATTGAGCAACCCTTTAAACACGTGTTATAAATAGAAACTCTGCCTAGCTTGCGCGTGTTAATCATTTTAATGTTATTAGTTGTTGTTTTTGCTTTTGTGCAACATAAATAATTAATGTTTTAGACATTATATGTTTAGATCATTTCTATTTTGCGGGAGTCCCGCGAATCATTTTATTCTGCCGCATCCCATACACAGACACGAGTCTCTTCTCGCCCGCACCCGCACTCGCCCATCAAGAGTTGTCCCACGCCACACCCTGTTGCGTTTGGGTCCCGCGGGAGTGCAGGTCTCTAACTTGAGGGTCCAAAAATATTCATATTTTGGGACCACTGTGTATTTTGTCATTATATCAGCCAGCATTCATATCAATATTCAGTACCAGACATTAAAAAACTTTGACCACTATTGTGTTGATCTTGCTTTTGAATTTATTTAACTTTTTGAATAAATCAAGAGAAACTACTTGTCTAATCTTGCTTCTTTGTGATGTATTAACGTTTTCACATTTGCCGTCAGGTACACCACATGTAGAGCGTTTCTGATTACCTTAAATGAGCTGAACGACTACGCGGGTCAACACGAGGTCATCGCCGAAAACCTGTCCACTCAGATAATCGCAGAGTTGTCCCGCTACACTCAAGAACTGAAGGCTGAGCGAAAATCGGTACAAACATGTCTTTTCCACGCTTTCCTTGTCATAACGATGCCAAAAAATCCCGCTCTCGGCTTTCTAGAGATAATTTAAAAAGATTATCTTCTGAAAAAAGAATCAAATCCCTCAATAATGTAAATCACCAGTTAAAGACATGTATGAAAACCACTAAAGTAATTCCTTCTCTGCTCTCCAGCACAGCGCTCACCTCTTTCAAATCCAGGGTTAATCACATAGGAATATGGTATTATTTTGTTTATGATTTCTCCTAGCTCTGTGGAATGAAGCCAGGACCAATGTGGGTCATGTATTCAGGTCAGTGGAGTTTGAGAAGGTCGCCCTCCCCCCGCTCTCGGCCTCTCTTGTCTAAAGGTTCTCGCGCGGGTTCAGGAGGGCTCTGTCTGAGGCTGCTGGCTGGAAGTAATATGACAGCGGAGTAAAACACCACCACGCTCGAGCTCAGGGAGGCTTCATTCACCTCAGACCTCAGTTGATGCATTTTGTCTTCCTTTTGTGTTCAAATGTCACGCCGAGAGAAAGTGGTCCTTATGTATTTTTCATATAGATTGTCGTGGTATGCCGTGAGTGGGCAGACACAAGCGATCGCCTGTGCTGGTTTGTCAGTGACGCTTATGATAATGAGAGCCCCTAAATAAATGATTTGTGTTCCAGTGAGGAATTCTGCAGTTAATTAACATTTATTGTACATGAGTACGTCTTTACTTCCGTAATTGAATTCTTTATGGAATGACGAGGGATTTGGATTCAGCAATAGCTCTGGAATATAATCTTTCTAGCAGCTGCTGTCTGGCTTGATTGTGTCATATTTCATTTAATCAGCTTAAATTCCAATTAAATGTCTTTTCAGCATAATATTTTAAAAGGAGATGTCAGTAACACAGTAATAAGATAGTTGTCATGACTGTGTAAGAACTGAAATATAATTTTTTTTAACCCGAAATGTGTTAAAAATACAGTCTCTCATGGTTGGTCTCCAGTATAAATAGCCAAATATTCAAATATTTTTAAATATTAATAATAATCAGATTAAACTATTTTACTATCAAGTAATACAGCTACTTGTAACAAAAAGCAGTTCACCTAAAAATTGACATTTTGGAATATAGTGAACAAGCGGAATGGACTACTTTTATGACACTTCACTGTCTAATTTGTATGGAAAAGAACTGCTTTGCTTTATATCTCCTTTTAGATTTCATGAAAATGTTCCTTTTTGGATGAGCTGTTAATGTAATTGCTGTCAAATATGTATATATTGGCTTTGAATGCATCTCATCGGATCAGATTTTAGAGCAGTAACTATTTGTTTTATAACAAATATTATCTTAATTTATCTAATGTTCTGTACTGCTTTTATTATCCTGTACTGTTTTTATTAGGTACAGACTCCACTGCAACTTTGTTTTATGTGCTATTTTTCTTTTTACAGAACTGTGGCAGTGAGTTTTGCACATTTTCTTTGCATTTCTTTCAGAGAAATGTAAACGTAAAAAAATGCTGTTCTTTTCAACGGTCTATCCATCAAAGAATCCTAAAATGTATCATTGTTTTCACAAAAATATTAAGCAGCACAGCTGTTTTCAACATAGATAATAATAAGAAATGTGTCTTGCTCTGCAAATTAGCATATTAGACTGATTTCTGAAGGATCATGTGACACTGAAGCCTGGAGTAATGATGCTGAAAATTCAGCTTTGCATCGCATGAATAAATTCTATTTTAATATACATTCAAATAGAAAACATATATTTTAAATTGTAACAATATTTTACAATATCATTATATTTTTATATTAAATAAATACAGCCTTGGTGAGCATAAGAGACGTACAAAGTTTTTTTTTTTAAATCCGACCCCAAACTTTTGAACAGTAGTGTTCAGGACTTACTTGTGGAGAACTTTCATTAAAAATCACAAAAACACCAGTTGATTGAAAGACATTGAGCAAAAATGGTAGCTTAATTGTTTTGCATATGCATCTTGGATTTACAGTATATTTTGTGTTTAACGCAATGATACTCACAAATTTGTGCGGGTGACTTAAGTGTCGAAATGCTTTTTTGGTCTGCTGTATGTGTTTAGTTAGTATGCATGATGAATGGATGTCTGGTGCGGTTCATTTGGACCACTTTGACATTTTGTTTTCGAACATTCCTTGTCATTTTTGTGTGTGTGTTTATGTGTGTTTGTTTGTCAAAGTCTTCTTCATCGATAACACACTACCATACTACTCATACTGCTTCTGGAATATATTGTTTTTGTGTAATAAATGTGTTTTTAATAAATTATGTGTACTCTACTCAACCTACATTACCCAAAATGTGCTGTATACAAGCAGAGCACAATGAGTAAGATATCCCACAATGCAATACATTCAGCTTGACCTTCCATTTCTACAGAGCTCCACACATGACATGAGGTCAAAAATATATTTATCATGGCCGTGATTTAAGAATATGTTCCTTCATTTTATTATTCCATTCCCTCATTTTAGCTAAGTTTTGGTAACAATTTCTTAATTCGTTTAACTATTTTTTTTAATTAGTTCCCTCATTTTAGTAAATGGTGGCCAAGTTGTACTGATTTGTTCCCTTGTTTTGATTGAATTAAAATGAGGCATTGTACAACATGTCCACAATTTACTAAAATGAGGGAACGAATTCTTAATTTGTGGCCACAAAAAAAAAATATATATATATATATATATACACACATTTCGTGCGTTTTGTACATTTCCAATTTTGAATAAACCTGAAGTAATATCAACTGCATCTTTTTTGACTATATTACAAAACTACTACAAGTTAAGGCTACGTTTACATGACAGCAATGTAGTGAAAAACTGAAAAGTTTTTCCCTTGCGTTTTTAAAAAGTTTCATGTATTCACGACAATGTTTTGTAAACGAATGGGACTTGAGTCAAAAGAAAAAAATAAATGACACTTCCAATACAGTTTTCTGAAAGATGGTTTTGGTCATTTAAGGTAGTTGTTATCACGCTGATATATGTTCAATTGTTTGTTTTTGTGATAAGTTTGATTTTAGCTAGTAATTTGATGCTATAAAAACGGTGCGTGTCGTTATGGTTGATTGGGTCTGCAGGAGTTTGGGCGGGAGTTTGATATCGCGGCTCCACCTCACGATTGCGGAGACTCTGGCTCCAAACGAATCTCTACTGCGCAGACTCTGACTCCAAACGAATCTCTACTGCGCAGACTCTGCATCCTACTGCTCAGACTCTGGCTCCAAACGAATCTCTACTGCGCAGACTCTGACTCCAAACGAATCTCTACTGCGCAGACTCTGGCTCCAAATGACGTCATTTACTCAAGATGGCAGCGGCCATACTGAGATGCTTTGGCTTCACTTTTCAATAGTGGAAGGAAGTGGAGACGCGTCGTCCAATTTTTTTTTACAGTCTATGGTTTACACGAAAACGACTTTCAAAAATATGCGTTTTCAGTCCCCAAAACGCCGTTGTCGTGTAAACGAACAGGCAAAACACATAAAAAGTTTCCAGTTTTTGGCTGAAAATGTTGTCGTGTAAACGGCCCCCCAAGACATTTTATTTTTGAAACGGTTTATTTTTTTAAATAACTATTTCAACACCACTAGTTGAATGAAACATGCAACTTGATGAGGTCATGTAATGTGGTAATTACGTAACAAACTGTTGTTTAAAACATTTTTTAATTTGTATAATGCATATTGTATAATATGCAAAATATGTCATTTTAATATGAAAAATATGTAATTGCTACTAATAATAACATGAATTAATTAACCAAATTTAGTGTTATTCATTCTGCTTTCTGAACACTTTCTGTAAGAAATACTATTGAGACTGAAATAAGATTATTCACTATAATTATTTAATTCTATTTTTATTTTTTATCACAGTGTAAATGCCTTTTTATATATGAAAGTATTCGACAGTTTCTGCTTAATTGAATAAATGTACTAATGCCACTATGTGTCAGTTCAGCGGTAAATGAACTAACAGCCTTGTTTTTGGATAATGCACATTTTCTGTTTTCATTTATTTTTGAGCGGACGCTCCGTGAATATTATGTCAAGTAAATTTTTTTTACAGTCTATGGTTTACACGAAAACGACTTTCAAAAATATGCGTTTTCAGTCCCCAAAACGCCATTGTCGTGT